CACACTGTGGCGCAGGGGTCCTCTGGAAGCTCAACCGAAAAGGAGGCAACTCGGGCCGCGTCACTGGCACGGGCGCATGCAAAGAGCATGAACAACAAGCCCCCAGACACGACACTGTCGTACACAGAGCCAGACAGCGCGATGCGCTCGAGGGTAGCTACCTCCGAGGCCTTAAGGGCGGGGGCCCGTCTCGGCGGAGGCGCGCTGGCTTCCGTGCTCTTACAAAGGCCCACGATACGGGAGCTGGTCACCTCCGACTCGAAGGAAAGACCGAAAACTCCCAAGCACCAGTTCAGACTCTGAATCAGGCTCGAGGGGCTGCTAGCCCCCTTCCCATTTCTCATCATCCACTGGATGTATCGCCAGGTGGCGCGCTCTGACACTGGGAAGGGCACCACCACTGGGTCTTGGGAGTTTGCCCACTGGACAAAATTGCTGAGGGAGTTTAGGCGACGAACCACTGTATTGGTGGCTTTGTAGCTGAGCGCTGCCTCTATGCTGAAGTCGAGCTCGTCCAGGTCGACACAACCGGCTTCGTCAGCACACTGTGCGACGATCTCGAAGGCCTCTGGCCAGGCTTTTACCAAGGCCGTCAGTTTGAAAACCGCGCTGTCGCGGCTGTCGCCTTCGTACGCTGTACGACGGGAGCAGACCTTAAGTGCGAAGGCCGTGTCTTCCGCTACTAGCGGCTGGGTGCTAGCGGAAGCTTTCCGCTTAAGCATGAGGCTTGACTCGTGCAACACTGGCACGGGGCCCACGGAGGCGGGGCGAGTCACTGACAGCTCCCAGGGCCAGCTTGCATTACGCGCAAACCATGAAGCTGATTCCCACGGCTGACGAGCACCGGCTCGGCGTGGTATGGACGACCAAAGGTTACTAACCTGGTCGTTGAAGTCGCCCTCTGGGGCGCTGCCCCTGGGCAGCATCCTTGACACAAGGAAGGGGAGCACTGCTCAAGCCAACGGCTGTTGTCCAGGTGGCTTTCAGGAAAGGGCTACCAGCACACGAACACAAGTGCACTCACTCTGGAAAGCTCTACTCAAGCGACGCGCTGCGACCCGCACCCTCCCCATGCAGTCCTGAGGGAGGAGAGGAGGAAAAGAGAGCTGGGAAGAGTGAGGCTTAAAAGGCTGCGGCAAGCACGCACTGAAGAGCGCAGGCTCTGATGGTGACACTGCACCTAGAGTTACCTCCTGAGGACCTACCAGGTCTCGGGTCACTGCGTAAAAACCTACTAGGCAAAAGAAACCTACTAGGCAAAAGAAGCAGCAGTCCTACAAGGTCTGTGTGCACACGCAACCTGCGGTGTTCTTTTTACCAAGCTCGCGGTGCGAGTTTCTGGGCGGAGCCCGGTTGTCGAGGTGCGCTGCACCTGCCTTCTGCGATCCGCAGACAGGCCGGTGAGCGGCGAAGGCTCTTTTGGCCGGACTGTGCCGGCACTGCTGTGCTCTGCACCTGTGTGAAACGGGCGCAGACGGAAGGGCCACTGGCCCGTCAAAAATTTTATCCGAACACTGTTCGGAATGCACTGGATTACGCCGCTGGCGTATCTACCATTCGCGATGGTTCCAGCGCCGGTCGTGGTCCCAAGACCAGCGACCACGGGACCACTGGTCCCGGTCCTCGTCGTCACGGCGGGACCTCCTGGTCCTTGCCTTGCCTTTTGCCCTTGCCGTCTCTCTCGGGCCTCCCGTTCGCGGTGCTCGCGCTCACGGGCTTCGGCTGCCTCGCGCTGCAAGGTCAGCCGAAGGGACTCGGGCGGCCCCCTAGTAGGGCGGCGCTCGCCCCGGTACTCGAGCTTGCCGTCTGTCCGCGGGACAGTGCCTGGGCAAGAGTAGTTTTTCGCGCAGCGTGTGCAATGCATCACGCCGCATTCTGGACACTGCCAGGCCTTGCTGCGACGCTCGTGGGAAAACTGTCCCACAGCGCCACTGGCGCTTGGCTGATCGTAGGCATGCACTGCAGCCACGAAGGGGTGGAGCTCTCCGCATGCACTGCATACGAATTCCGACGACGGATCGCTCCAAATGTTCATCTGCATGTTGTCGCAGACTGAACATGCGAAGACTCGCTGAATCTCCCCCGCTCGGGGACGCTCCGCCGCTGGCGGGCGAGCTTCCTGATCGTCTCGATCAGTGTTGTCGTCTGATGCCGGGCCGCTGGCCCGGGTCCCCGCGACGCCAGCTGGGTTGTTGCGCGGGGGCTGCTGACAGGGACGCGGGCGAGAGCTCTCCCCACGACGCGCCACTGGCGGTGGGGGAGGCCGCTTGTTCTGGCGTGGGGCGGCGGCCTTCGGGGGCGCCGCTGGCGCCTGATTCCTGTCGGCTGCCGGCACTGCCGGGCTGGAGGACTTGCGCGCCACCTTGCCCTCAAGGGGAGGGTGCGGCTGCGCTGGCGGTGGCGGGGAGTCGCTCTCCGACTCCGACTCTTCCGAGCGGGAGCCTTGGTCGTCTTCGGTCTCGTCCCGCCGCCCGCTGGGCTCCTCCACATCCATATCCTCCGGCGCTGCCGAGGGAGCTTCCGCTGGAAGCGGTTCTTCTTTGATGCCCGAGCCCGCTTCCTCAGCGGGGCTGGTCGGGGAGCGGTGCTGCGAGGCCGGCGCTGCGGCCGACGTGGGAGGCGAGTTTGCCACCGCGCTGCGGTGGCCGTCGGAAGAAACACCACGGGCCGCCACTGGCGGCTCGGTGTTCGCTGGCACCACTGGGGGCTCGTAGCCCAGAAGAAGTCGCTGAAGGGCGACGGCATTGGCCTCTGAGCCGCCACTGGCGGGCTTGGTCCAGCCGGCGAGTTCCGCTGCCTCTGCCGCATTCACCACCACGTCCCCTATCTCTGATAGGGAGACGGCGGCTTCGTAGATGGCGGCCCTCTGGGCCTCCGGCACTGCACTGAGCGCCTGCAGCATCTGCTCGTTCGTCGGGTTCGCCATCGCTGATAGCATACAAAGTTAAAGGCTGTTTGCTGTAGGCACGAAAGGGGCGACTTACTAAGCTGAAAAGGCTGCGGTAGAAAAGCACTGCTTGAAAACCGACACGGTTTAAGGAGCTGACTCAGCTAAAGAGACCTACCAGGCTCGCGTGACACACGACTGAAAAAGGCGAGCGGCAAACTTTTGCCGCATTTCAAATTATGCCGTCGGCCCGCCGCTGTGGGCGAGGTTCCAAAAGCCTCGGAGACGCCCGCCCTGCAGAGGCTGCCGAGCTGTCGGCGGTGAACCAAAAAGAAGTGCACTGCACCAAAAGTGAGGGGGGCGACTCACGGAGAAGCCAGCAGCTACGCGCTGCGCTCCGAGCCTAACGGCGGCCGCCCCTGACGCCGCGGTTTCGGGGTCGCTGACCCCGGCTGCTGCGGTAGCAGTTGTCGCATTCGTGGTGATTGTGGGGGCTCCTGCCCACTGAGCAGTGCCGCCCACAAATCGCCATACCCTGGGAGATGCAGCCCTGCTGCGCGCAGGGCATGCAACACATGAGGTCGCCTCGCCTCTCCGGGTACCTATCCCATCTCTCTGAGTTGGGTTGTGCCCAATAGGGCCATTCGTGCACGTCTGTGACGTGCAACTGCGGAGAAACCCTCCTGGCGTGCGTTACTAACGCACGGAGGCCAGGGTACCTGTTGTCGGTCGCTGACCCGAGGTTGCGCCAATCGTTATTTTGGGGGTCCTCCCCAGGCTGGAACTGCCAGCCTCGCTGGCGATTGCGACGCTGCGGTCGGGACACGACCACAGTGTTCGCGTTGGGCGCAAACGGCACTGCCGTTGCGGCCTGGCTGCTAGCCAGGGATACCTCGGAATCTCCCGAGTTCTGATCACTGTCAGTATCGATAACTTCAATGGCAGGCTCCGCCTCTGGCGGAGCGACGTCGGCAGCTTCGGCTGCGGGCGGGCTGCCTGTTGTGGCCGCAGCGGGCTTAGCAGGAGCGGCCGCTGGCGGCGGTAAGGGAGGGTCCGAGGCCGATGCCGACGCTGTCGGCAGGGCGGTGCTGGACGAGGCGGTGGGGTCGGTGCTGCCGCTGGCAACTTTGTGAGTCTTCTTCTTTTTCTTCTCCGAAGGGAGGATCTTGATCCAACCACCCTTGCCTTTGCCCTTACCCTCTGGGTGCCAATGGAAGCCGCTGGCTTCCACCTTGGTGGCCACGTGGCCCTCTAGGGCGTCCACCCAATTCAGTCTCCACTGGAGTTTGGGGACATTATCCTCCTCCCCACTGACAGTCAAAAAGGCCGGTATACGGCCAGCCAGGTGTGGCCGCTGGCCGCATAGGCACGTCGCGCTGCGACATCGTATACCGGTGCATCGGATAGGCACTGCCTGAGGTGTCCGGTTGTTCCCCTTGCATCTGCGCGAAAGGGTAAAAGGGAGGCCAAACTTTGGACTCCCCTTCCCCTGCGCGGTTCAGAGATTCATGGTCGTCGCTGACGACCGCGGGGTCTACCCGCATGGCACAGCTAATGGCCCAGAGGAGATAACTTATCTCCTGTTGTGCCATCTCTTCACGCATGGCCTGCTCTAGCACGAAAATTGGATTGCACTGCAAAAAACGGAGGCAGGAGCGACACTGTCGCACGCGTTGCAGGCATTGTGGCGCTGCCAACTGATTCTCTCGACCGTCCCTTCTAGGGTACGGCGCCTCTGGCGACTCAGCCGCGTAATTGCGGGCTGCTTGGTCTACCATAACTGCCACTGACAGTTATAAAAAGGGGAGTGGAAGGACGTCGCTGACGACCCCCACTGCTGCGGAGCACTACAAGCTACTCTACAAAAACTTTTTGGATCACAGATCCAACTCCAAGCCGAAAGCTGCACGGCAAAGTTTGTCTAGTGTCACTCACACACAAGTGAAAACACTGTTTTCCTTTTTCGACAAACTTTGTCTACACTTTCGGCGGAAAATAAAACCCATTCACGCACGCATGATGGATGCATATTGCAATGATCTCGTCGAGTGCCCTTAGATCAAGCTTATCCCCATAAGAAAAAGAACCATTAACTAAGTTCTCGGAGTAGTCGTCAATCGGTCTCAACTTGCGCTTGCCTCCAGAAGATTGAATCACGGCGAACCGGCGCACAGGGGCCCATGCGTCGCCGTACCTTCTCGTCAGCTCTTCTTCGGTAAGTGGTCCCTCCAAGAACCCTTCGGCAACCTCAGTCAAAGTCTTATCCCACAGTTCCGAGGAATGCTCATTCAAACCCTCGGACAAAACCTTACCCAAAAGCGCCGGACGGATGTACTTACAGGCCTTAGTAAACTCGTCAGCCGTCCTCTCCTGGGGACGAGGCTCCTTTCTAAAGACACCAGTGGGCTTCTGCCAACCAACCAAACCAAAACCCTTACAAGTATCCTCAAACCATCCATCGTCGGGCCACTTCAAGTCATCAGCAATGCGTTTGAGCAAGAGAAGCCTCTTTGATCCTAACACAGACCTCACACCAGGTTCGAGGCCCTCCTTAAGTTGGGACTCTGGTTCCTCCAATTCCCTGGCCCATTCTAACCACTTGTTGAGAGTGGCCACACGTTGCCTACCAACCCACTCAGGGCCCTTCACCAAGGCCTCATGAAGCTTTCGTTTCACTTCGTCGGGGATGACAGCAAACGTCTCGAAGGGATGCCGTAATCCTTTGGCCTCCTCCAGAAACTCATCCGGTGTTGCATAAACACCAACACTAAGTTCGAAGCCACCCGACTCCCCCGTCTCCTCAGTGGCGAGAAGTTTGGAGCCTGCGGGGATGTCACCGATGGCGTGCTGCAAGCAATTTTTATGATCCACAGGCGGAATCTGTGGCACACGACATCTGCAAACGCGACCAAATTCTCTGATGAGGCTCGCACCAAGTTTGCCCCGACGCTGCTGTGTGACAGGCGGAGGGCTGGACTGCAGCGGAGACAAAAGGGGGTCAAAGCCACAGTGTTTAGCCACGGCGTGGGCAACCTGCTGACAGAAAAGCCTGGGATGAGTATCAACACCGCCAGTCACAGGCGTGTGACTGTGATTACCATGGCACACTTGTTGTAAACACTTGAGTGCACTACAAGACGTTAGCAGTTGCCTCCGCAAGCGATGCGGAGAATCGAAGGCACACAAATCGTACACCACGGTAGTGGTGTTGGTGAGCTGGCGCACAGCAGGCATATGCCACAGGAAGCTGGACTGCGGATGCTCAATGGACCAGGCGATGCCCATTTGTTGAACTCGTTTTAAGAAGGTGATGACATGTTCCATCAAGGAGTCGGCCAATGCGAGCCTTTGAACCTGAGAGGCGTCGGCGCCTCCTACAGGAACTACAGATCCATGGGACAGTCGTCGGAGGCCCTGCTTAGGTCCATAGGTGGCATACGGCAGATCAACGTGCACGTACCGAACATGATAGTTGTCAAGCACATGCGAAAGATATTGCCACGAGCTCGGCAAGGCAAGATCCAGTGAGCACAACTTGGCCAACGGAAGCCGGTGACTTCCTCTATCTATGGGCATGACCTCAAAGCCAATCTGATGAAAGGCTCGGGACAGAGAGCCTGCACGGGCAAACAGCTCGAGCACAATACCAGGCTGGTCAACCGGCTTGGTCTGAACCTGACCAGTAGATACTACGGAATCTTCTACGGGGGCTAAACCCGACTTGGAGGAAGCTAGAGGCGGGGAAGTCACTGGTTGTGCGAGGCCGAGTGGTTTTGGAAACTCATCAGTAGCACACCCCCCGGTAACGACCGGCGCTTCATAGCAAACCGGAGGTGACTGTTCGGCATCAAGAATGTCGGCTTGCATCGGGAGCTGAAATTCCAAATCGGTCAGTGTAGCACTATCAGTCTCACTAAGATGATCAATGGCGGAGACTGAAAAAGCAACTAAAACCACTCTATCACCCGACCAACTCCTAGTGGCGTGAGTCAAACGTCGAGCGGTGAAGACGGCATGACTCCCATCCAAGCTGAGTTCGACTCCACTGCGTAGTTCGCCATCAACGTCGCACCAAGCTTGGCCGCCTGGTCTCTCAACCCACACCTGTCCCTGATCGAAGTCAGACAGTGCACACACAGCATTGGGCAAAGAAGAATTATGCGCATCCACATGAGGTGTGGTTTGAACGTTGCGAAAGAATGCTAAGCTCGTGAACTTTAAGCTGGGCAGCTGCTGTCGCACAAAACGCGCGGCCAACTTTGTCACATTCGGGAAGAGCAAGACATTACGTCGCAGCCCAACCTTGACTCTGCAATAGGCACCTGTCGAGAAGGAGACCCCTTGTGATGGGTCACCTCGGACGGAAGCCTCTGTGGGGAGTGATTGGAAGACTTCGATCCTCGACCGAACCCTTGAATTCGTGATCAAGACTTGCGCTACTGATCGACTCAATTTCATCGATGGCCTTGACCTCATCAGCCTGAAGATTGGTTTGAAGTGAAACGCGTGCAATCTTGGGAGCAGGAGCCTGGGCCCCTAGTCACTCGGTATTGCGCTTTGGGCAGTTGGGGTAGAAGTGCCCGGGCTGGTAACAAAAGCAGCAAACGTGAGCACCCCTGAAGCACTTGTTGCCTGTCAATTGCCTAGTGCATTTGCCCCTCTGAGCATCAAAGCAAATGGGCACTCCTTTCGGGGTGTTTGCGTGCCCGTCCTTTAGGTCCTCTGGCATGGTCACCTCGCGGCGCGACGGTTGCTTACCCTTACCAGAACCTTTGCCCCGACCTTTGCCACGGCCATACGGAGTGGGTCTTTCAAAGGGAATCTTAGCGGGAGGAGGCGACGCGAGGGGAGCGAGCAAATGAGACACCTCGGTCAAATCGGCGCAACGCATCCACGCCTCGTCCAATGGACGACCGGTCTCCGTGACTTGCACTCCACTGCGACACTCATTAGCAGCGGTGACAAACAATTGCTTATCGGCTTGAAGCAGCTGCTGTATGCTGACTCGGGTGTATCCCGAAGGCACCTCACGATATCTGGAGTGCAACAGGCGGTCAGCCCATTTCTCATGTTCTTTGAAACCTAACAATCCGGCCTGTTCCATCGCGAGTCCTCGCCGAGTGAGGGCGAACTTTAGTAACAAGTCAGTGCTCAAGTCGGCCTCACCTCGAATGTCGGCGTTCTTGATGTGAACATTACCGCTATTGTCAACTGTGAGGGTACGATCCTCCTTGTCCCGGGAATTCCGAGTCTCATCGTCCTTGCTCATGCACCAACTCAGCGGAAGATATGTAAGGCGATTGTTTTCATACATTTGACAACACTTGTCCACTGACCTGTCACTCGGTTCATTAGGCCCGGCGATAGTCAAGCCTGGATACCGCACCACTTGACGAGCCAGACGATCTGCTCGGTCAGGAGCGGCAAGGCTCCTCGCTGGTGCATCGGTGGTGCGCTCAACCTGAGATTTAAGCTCGGCCGCGACCAAAGCAAAGGCCTCAGAGTGCAATCGGCGCAGCACCGAAAGCTCCCCCACGGTAGCATCCCTCTTCAACAAGTCCTTTATGGAAGTCACAAAAGGACCCTCATCACTCTGACCCGGAATGAAGCTGCTCACATACGCAAATTTGGCAAGAGTGTTGACGCCACCATCGACAAGCAGCTGAAGCACCTCAGCTTTCAAGCCGAGTTTCGCAGCCCGGGAGCTAAAATTGGCCTCACTCTCAGTAATACTCATGGTTCCAGCTTGAGCCGACCTGACTCTCGCGAACCCATGTGGTCCCCATCGTTGTTGATCACAACGATTTGCAAACAACTCTCTACCGACACTCACACATCGCAACGTCGCTCAAGAATTGTTTCGCCTCCAACTCGTGTCGCGTCACCTTCAAAATCGCGATGCCACTGACATCCCATCACCGTGACACGCAGGGCCCATGGGCACACCGCACCGATGTGAAGTGTACAATCCTTGGCGCTGGCATGGTACACTGTTGCAACAACATGTGGACAAAACGCACGGGGCCGACACGGCACACCGTGATCACGCCAGGACCGTCCCTTTCACATCATCAATGTTCTGTCGTGGCGGGGTCTCGCTGACACACCGTTGACCCGACATGTGATACGACTCGGGGCAAAATGCACACCGATGCCATTCTGACGCGGGGATAGCACACCGGCCATCGACCTCGGTCGGGGCCGCAACGGCACACCGTCCTCAGTATCCCTCTATGTCACGCTCGCCAAACACAAATCTCAGCTCTGATCCCCTTTAACCTGCTCTCCAACAGCAGGCTCGACACTGGAATCTGTTTTGACAGAGTTGAAGCACCTGGCACACACAGGGTACAGAAACGATGGAACAGCTGCCACCTTCTCGTAGTTCTTCGTGCATGTCCTGCCGCAAGATAAAGAAGTTCCGCCCTCGTCGGCAATCAAGTGCAGCATGCGTGAAGACCGATTGCGAACCAAGTGCTCTGCCTTCAACTCGCGCTTAGGCACTTCCTCACACCAACCATCCACGACCCCGTCCAGCGCTCGCTCGAGCTCCTGACAATCGGTCTCGGCATCCTCTTCATCAAGAGACGCCTCTGAGGAAGCTTCGTAATCGTAGCTGGCGTTGGGGTCGTCCTTCGTGGGGAAGTACCCGCTCCGGGTACTGTCCGGAACAAAAGTCCCTGATCTAATGGCCGCGAGGACTTTCTCGAGCACCCTGACCGATGCTGATACGGCATCGCGGCTGTATACTTGGGCGCTGCGGTCGCCCGGAGCCGTGTGATACCCCAACACTCTCTGATCATAGCTGTCGATGCCGAATCTGGCACACCAAGATAGACAAGTCGCTTTACATGAGTGCGTTCCAATAGGGGAACACTGAGCCTCAGAAAATCCGCACTTGCGGAGCACGTTTCTCAACCATCCAGCAGCGACCGAAGCACTCGGAGGGTGACTAGCCCAGTGTCCGGTGGTCAAAATCGCAGGCAGGACGGGCAGCCCCTCTCCAACAGGGACGTTCAATTCCTTTCTCAGCATGGACCACGCCTGGAACCAATCTTCGCCAGCGATACCCTTGCGTGGACACACCATCGGCAGCAGCTGAGTTTTCCTCTCAGTGGTGTAAGATGTCTTGCTGCGTGCGATGTCGGCCTGAAGGTAGCCTCCAAGCCCAGACGGGTCGACCTGCGGCTTGTCCTCGCTGACATTGTACATGTTCTGGGTATCAGAATACCTGGCCCTCATAAAAATCGAGAGCAAGAAGAATCCAGCTATGAACCGATCAATGCGATCCCCATCGGGGGAAACTACAAACCTCTCAAGTCGCTGTACCATCTCAGTCGACAACGGTGGGCGCTGGACCCTCTTCCGCTTTGTCAAGTAGCATGCCCTGGCCACACCACTCAATCTCATGCTAGCCATCGCCTCCTGAGCGCTCTCCGATCCAAGAATGAAGAAACAAAAGGTCACCGCGCTCAGGAAGCTTTTGAGGAAACTCGGCGAGCATGTATGTTCGCACTCACAAGCAAACTCGTACATGTCATCCTCCTTGAATGGAAATGCCAAGACTGCATGCCTATCAGCCCATGCCACGTATCGTATGAGCGGATCAGCCCGACTGTGCAGAGTTCCAACTGCCTTACCTGCGAACACATGTCGCAGCGACCTTGACACTTGGACCCCGACAGGTGCTAGTGACGTGACCTTCCGACCCACATCGAAAGACTGAGGGCTCCTGAGTACAAGAGCAGTCCACTTCCGAACGGCCGCCACCAATCTCTTCTCGGTCTGGTTCTCCCAAGAAATATCATGACGTACACGAGAGAATCGATGTGCAAAAGAGACAGCCGGCTGTTTGGGAACCGGAACAGAAATGTTGCTGCTCACAGGAATGAGGGGTAGTGGCCCCCTTCCCAAAGGTACACTGAAATCAAGCAAGCTATTTCGAAATTCAGGTGTCTCCCAAGGCATCCTAAAAGCCGAGCCCTGAGAAGTTCGCAAACATGTGCTGAGATGAGCATCGTAAGCAGAGTCGCTGGCCGTCCTCTGCCTCTTTGCACTTTCTTCGGATGCCATCCTTCAAGTGCTGCAGGCCACCGCTCGCCCCTAAAACTCGGCCCAAGCACTAACGCAATGGTTATGCCTCGGGCTGCGAATCAAGAGCAGGTTGGGCACAGAAGAAGCTAGCACGGATTTGCCAGCTTGCGTGAAGGATTTGCAGGCGCTCAACAGAGGAGAGGCAGGCCCAAATCAAGCTGGCAATATCTCTCAGCTGAATTGTCCTAGCCAAAGCGGCCTGCATGGCTGGGCCCACCTCTATAGTCGAGACCCATCTCCCACTCTTGAGCAGCAATGTAACACGACGTGGACATTTCACATGCTCTTCAAGGAAATTTCTTCACTCAAGAAATCACTGCTCGAAAATACATTGCTTAAAGTGGGAGAGGCAGCACACGGGTTAGGGCATTAAGGTTTTTGAGTTTTCTTCGCTCGCCGCCACGGCGGCTCGTCACGAACGCAAAAAGGTACTAGCTGTCGTCGCAGGCTAGACAGCAAAGGTACTGCGTGAGATCACGCTTCACGACTGTCTGGAGTGCGTCGATCAGAGGCTTCTCGTCCGAGTGGCCCACCTGGAAGGGTGAGATGAAGGCTAGCGTGCCCATCGTTGTGACTCCTCCGTCTTCCAGCAGCTTGAGAAAGTCAGCAGGTAAACCTATCTCAAGCGCACGTGCATGAAATGCGGCAGCGGAGTCCAAGGTGGAATTCATGGCACCTAAGAGGGCTTGAGGCCAAAGTTGCGTCACTCACGAAGAAAATTTTCTGGCAGGCACTCTCACTCAGAAGGATGCGGAAAACACTGCACAGCCTGAAGGCTCGACGGCAGTACACTGTTGAAGTACCAAACCCGGGCACAGCCGAAGCTCAACGGCCCATTCTCAAGTCGACAACTTCCTCAGGGAAGACAAGTACAACTCGAAGGAAGCGGAAAACACTCCACAGCCAGACGGTTCAACGGCAGTACGCTGCTGAAGTACCAAACCTGGGCACAGCCGAAGCTCAACGGCCCATTCTCAAGTCGACAATCCCACCGGAAGACAACACATCGGTGAAGGCAAACACTGCTCAGACATGTGGCTCAACGGCAGCGTGAACTGACCCCCTGAATCCAGGGCACAGCCGCAGCTCAACGGCCCCAGCTCTGTAGAGGTAGAGGCGCAGCTGTAGCTCAACGACCTTATCCTGAAAAGCGGGAAGCTCGGGCAGATATTTCACGCCACAACGGAAGCCTTAGCGCACTGTCCACATACAGGCAGGTCGCTCAAAGGGATATCTGGGTCGAGCCTGCTATAATTTGCCGAATCATTGCGGCCACACAAAAATCGGGCCCCGCTCAAAATGTGCACGACTCTGGAATGGACATGCATCTTACAATCCTTGGCGGCATCAAGCTCAGCTGCCGTCATGGTCCTGCCCAAAGTCAAACCTGACGCTGCCCCCTGAAGATCGGCCTCGGTTATGTCCTCATCTTCAGCTTCAGATTCCAACATATCTGGAGCATCAGCACAAACGCGCTCGAGGAGGGCCTCAGAACCATCCGAATTCCTGATGAGATGAGCCAGGCGCCACACCCTGGACTCGTCAGGCTTGAGAGCTCCCTTCCGAATGAGCACGATCAAGTCGTGCACGACCTTCATGAGGCGAGTGAGTTCATCACGGGCATAAGTCAAAGGGGACATCACAGCTGGATCCACATGATGCCCTAGGAGGCGGCGGTCGGACAACGGGACAATTGTGCTTTTCGCAGCCCAGGATAAAACAGTGCACTTCAAGCTGTGAGTACCAATGCCATCGATCTTTTGACTAGCGGCGGTCAGGAACTCTTTAAGGTAGCAGCATGCCTCCCCGGTGCTCATCGGTCTGTCCAGCCAACAGTTGGCACTCTCAGACCATGCAGGGAGAGCCGGATGCAAACCCAGAGAACATTCCTCTCTGGCCTTCATCCACAGGTCAGCCCAGTTGCTGTCGGCAAAGAATTTACCCAGCGAACACATGGGCAACAGCTGAGACTTGCGCGATGCTACGGGTGCGGTCTTCCAGTGGGAGCTCTCGGCTTCAACCAAGCAAAGGCCCTGGTGGAACGACACAATAAGGCTTCCTAACCAAAGCGAGTCGCCGAACCGGGCACTAGCACCGAGGCAAAACAACAGGTGCCCAGCAATGACTTTCCAATGGCAGTACGGCGCATGAATCACCACGTACTCTAAAGCAATTGACCTGTTTCACAGTCAAAGGGATTGCCTGCTGCAAACGACGCTTGCCTTGGTACATCTTGAGCGCCAAACCTTTCACACGAGAAGAAACGGCTCGCAGCGCCGCTTGATCCTTAAATTGCAAGGTGCCCGCGGCGAAATTCCAAGCCTGGAGAAAAGAAGACCCTGAGGTAGGTCGCGCATTCGCCTCGAGTTCCTGTAAGTACAGATACAGGGCCCTCTTTCCGGCAGTGAAAGGATTGCCATACCCTGAATCAAGGGTCCACTTGGCGAAGGCCCACAAAGCGGAGGCCCTCTTCACGAGGGTAGAAGTAGCTTTCCCGCTGAAAACATCACCGAACGTTCTTGCAATTTGTTGGTCTTCCTTGAGCAAGGAAGCTTCAGCCAAAAGAATGCATCCTAGCTCGGTGACGCCAGGCTCGAGCATGACGAGAACCCTGAACTTACGGAGAGCCTCCCACCTGGCAGAGTCCGAGGTCTTCATCATGGCAACAATTTGAAGACGCTTCTTTGCAAAGCCAGGCACCTGCTTCAGCGCAGGTACAGCACTCGGGGCGCCGGATTGCCGTACGGGTTCATGATCATAGGGCATCGGAATGCGGGGACGCTTGCTAGGCTGACCAAAAACCCAGGCAAAGGGTCCCCTCTCCCAAGGAAGGAGAATCACTGAGTCACTGAAGTCCTATTATCCTTAAGCGTCTCGTTCCAAGAGAAATTCCTGATGAGTACCGCTCTTGCGTCCAAAGCCGGGAAGTCATCTTCGGCTTTAGACAGTCTGCTGAAGAAGGTATCAGGGGATTGCAAAAACGATGCAGTCTGGTCCTGCGAGGCAGCAGCACCTGAAGATCCGGCTGGACCCCCCAGATTCCCCTGCGAAGAAGAGACCAAGGCCGGATTGCCTGATGTAACCATCTAGCCTGTCAAGCCAACCTACGGCAACACAAGCGGAAGAGCCCCAAAAATCTTTCCAGACGACTGAGACGAGCCTGCGTCCGGGTAGTTTGCTCCTCGAGGAGCTGTAATCTGTCCTCCAAAACCCTGACATGTGATTCCACAACGTTGAAGTCAAGCTGCATGGTATGCACGTGCCGGCTGAGAAGCTCCCAAGAAGAAGTAGAAGAGCCCCCTGAGGAACCCTCGGCGGCACTGCTGTCAGGAGAGGCAGACACCGGACGGCCCGCTTCCATCCGTGGTCCCGTCAAGGGACCCTTTGCACTGAGGGCTAGCCCCGAACGTCGACCGGTTGAGTTCAGGCCTGTTGAGGTTGACACGGAGCCCTGAATGGTTTCTCTGTTGCAGCTGTCTTCGGAGCCACAACTGCCGGCGCGAACAAATCATCGGAAGTTAGATGCACCGACAGATGCTCGAGTGGAAAGACAGTAAGTCTTTCAGTTAAACTTCCATCAACACTGAAAAATGTCAGTGTCTCACAACATGTAAAATGTTCGACGTGAGAACACAAAAGTTCTTTGGCAGTTTTGCGTCGCTGCGTTAGCAACTATAAATCAAAGACAACATGATCACATTCGTGAAATAGTCGTCCCTTTCTGCAGGGGTTAGCGTCTCCAGGCCACGGGGAAATTCATAGCTACGCACTGGGCGCGGCCCTCGGAAGTTAGCCCATGGTGCCCTGGAGAAGCTAGCGCACGGCGGAGAAAGCAGCACAGCGTCAAACTCCTTGTTAGCTATCCGGTCCAGGTAGCTTTGGCGGATCTTGGGCAAGCTGAGGTCATACTTAGCGTGCCGAAGAAGGTCGACACACTCGACCCGAACGTCTAGCCCGAGTTCCCCAGCTAGCTGATGCAGGCATTGTGCCACGTCTAGCCGGCGCGAGGCTCCAGAGAAAAGGTAGAGCACTCTTAGCGGCTTTGCAGGCGTAGCGGCTGCCGGGGCAGGCGTAGCATCCCCCGGCGCGGGGGCCACTGGCACTGAGGGCTCCGTCGCGGTAGCGGGTCAGTTGGAGGGCTTGTCCTCCTTAGCGGTCTCCGTCTGCTTCTTGTTGGGACATTGCGTAGCGGGGTGCTTCCCGAAGCATAGCGAGCAGACGTGCTCGAAGTGGCATTTGCTGCCATTCTTGCAACCCTTAGCATTGTAGCGGAAGCAGATGGGCTTCCCCTGCGGGGTGCGATCGGCACCCAAGCGCTGCTTAGCTTTGCCCCCCTTGGGGGGGGCGTCTTTGCCTTTGCCCTTCTTCTTGGGGGTCTTAGCGGGTCGCTCCTCTGTCCAGGTCCAGGGCTGTGGCCTTTTAGCCTGGAGGGCCAGCGGCGTAGTGAAGTGCCGCTCCTTCACACTAGCGTCCTTGTAGGCATGGACTAGCGCAGCGCCGAAGGAATAGCCCGCCGTGGCCATGACCTTGTACGCATGCTTCCTGATAGCGTGCTCGTAGCTGAGCACCAAGGGCCACGGGGGCACTAGCGACCCCGAGTCGGCACTGGACCGGAGACCATAGCAATAGTCTCCGAGAAGATAGTCTTTGTAGCGCTCGAAGAGGGCCATGGTGACGTCCTGTAGCTCCTCTCGATTGGGGTGCCTTAGCTGGATCATAATTAGCGTGTTCTGGAGAACCGTGAGCCGCAGCCGTAGCTGCTCCGGAGCCCTAGCACCACCTTTCTTCATGGATAGCGTGCCATTGCCATTCCAGACGGGCAGTAGCGTGTCGGGGTCCCACTCGTCCCGGCTGATCACCTCGGTTAGCGGTTCCGCTCGGAACTCGCCGGATTCGAGCTCGGCTAGCTTCTTCTCGATGTACTCCTTAGCGGGGGTCTGCTTGTCTTCCAGGTCCCCAAACTTAGCGGTGAAGGCTTGGCGCATGGCCATGTAGTCGGTAGCTGGGATGGGCTTTGCCCAGTCCCTGACCTCACTGGTAGTTTCTGCCTCCGCCTGCCGCTCGGTGCGGGAGTTAGCGGTCCTCCATGCGATGGTGACCCCCGCGGCCTGAGCTCGGCTAGCGAGCGAGGTGGTAGGGTCAATAGCGAAACTGTCCTTTAGCATCTTCTTGAGGTCAGCTTCATCCGTCGCCGAGGCGGCGAACTTAGCGACGGTATCAATACCGTTGGAAAAGAGCTCGGATTGAATAGCATCCGAAACTTTGTGTTGCACTAGCAGGAACCGGAGCTCGCTGCTTCCGAGGGCTAGCTTCTGTGCCAGAGCCTCTGCCATGGTAGCAGGCACGGAGGGGCCTACGCCACCTTAGGAGCTGCCTAGAAAAGAAAAATGTGTTCCTGCTAGCACCTAGAGGAAAAGCTTCTAGCGTGAGAGTGTGTGGGAGTGCCAGTCGATAGCTTTCGCTGAAAAGGCACTGCAGTAGCAGACGGCCCTAGCAGCCCACCGACCACGGCCCCACCCCCCGTAGCGCTCGACACTCTCCCTCGCTCTAGCGCTTCCCTTCTGTCTGGCTGCCGACATGTGTGTAGCGTGGACTGCTGCAGCACACAAGCAGACGTAGCGGAGCTCTGCCCTGTCTTTTGCTTCGGCTAGCGGTCGGCAGCAGAGGGCGCTGCAAAAGTAGCCACTGTGCATCCTGAAAGTAGCGAGGCCGAAGCCAGTAGCGGGGCCCCCCGCGGCTCCACTTCTTACACCCGTCACAACAGTGACTAGCGTGGTCATCTACTTTAAACCACATACGCCTGTTACAGGCGTGTAGCGTGCAGATCTCGCAAGTCGTAGCGCACCTGAAAATACAGGCGTTAGCGTCCCACCTTGAAACTCCGAGAAGCTCCAATTCGGGAAGCTCCAAATCGAAGCTCCGATTTGGATCCGATTTGGAGCTTCCGACTTTGAGGCGTTAAACGGCGGAGAGCAGCTCCAATTCGGAGCTTCCAGAAGCTCAGTTCGACTGGGAAAACCCTCTAAAACACCTTTGAAAACTACCTGCAAACCCACAAGCAAATGAAGTGCCAAAGCTTTTGCAGCCCTGCAAGCACTAAAGCTCGGCCGAATCTTTTTCTTGGAGCGGCAGCAAGGCAGGTGCTGCAGACTTGTGCTGCCAAGCTCAAGTCTTCCTACAGGGAGCCTTCTGCAGGCTAGCTCTATCGCAAACCTCTTCGAGCCCGGTCCAGGCAGCAGCAGCAGCAGCAGCAGCTGTTTTGCTTCAAGGCCTGGCAACGGCAGCAAATGGCGCAATCTGCTGCCATTTCTCCAAAGCTCGAGCACAGTTTTCGCCGGGATTGTTTGCACCACCTCTGCGACGGAAGAGCTGTGCTAAGTGCCCTCCCAGGGTTTCATCTGCATAACACCAAAAATCCTTGGCATTGAAACCGCTTTCACAGATGTGTTGGAATTGATGCAGCTTGGGCATGATATGCCAGTTCAAAGAGTCCTCTGCTTCGAGTGCTTCCTTCTCCAAAGCCATATACTGGCTAGCCACTTTGGCAGAGGCCTTGTCCAAGCCAGAGTGCTCATTCGTTTCCACTTTGTTGTAGACTCTGGCCAAAAATTTGGCCAGCTTGTGGCAAGCCACTTCGTGATCGCTGCCTGCGGCAAAATGCTTGCCTGTCAAAATCGGAAGCAAAGGCACCATGTGCCTCACCGTGGCTGCTGGGCATTTGAGGGTCGGCGGACCCGTGCTTTTTTTCCCTTTGTTTAGCACTTCAGGTGTCAACTTCTGCAGCCTGTCCGTCACCATGTGTTCTTTGTAAAGCTTTTGCACATCTAGCCACAGGCCCGAAACCCTATCCTTGAGACTTCTGCCTTCATATTTCGCAGCCAGCTCGAGCAAGAGCTGCCCAGCAATATCGGCCGAAATACCCATGTCGACGGCATGAAGCCAATCAGGCAAAATCAACGTTCGAGGGGCCAATTCTGGCCAGTGCCACAGTGGGCACACCGTCTTGCCCATGTTGCGAACTCTGGTCAAGAATTCGGCCTTGCTCAGGCCTGAATTTCTTTCATTCGCTGTGCAGTTTCTGAAAGTTTCAAACGTGGTCTTGCACAGCCAGCACATACCACTTTTGGTGTTGTATGTCGGAATGTTGTACCAACTGTTCAGCCAGTCCCAATCGCCCCTGATCTCCACGAGAATGCCTTTTGCAGGCAAGTCCCTCCCAACATATGTTCGCCTTTGCTTGTCGGATTTGAGCCACGGGCTTCCATCATGTCTGCAGCTGGGGAATTTCCCTTCCTTCAAGCATTGCATGCTCCAGAGAAGCAATTTGAGTATGCTGTCTTTGGTTTCATACTCCCAGTGAAAATCGGTCTGCAGCAACGTGATGGGAACAGGGGATCTGTGCTTGGCATCTTGAGCTGCGGGAAGATTGATCGTCAGGAAATCAAGCCCTTCCTTTCTCATAGTGCCTTGAACAGGCACACCATCGCCGTGGAGGGCAAAAGGAATCACTGCTTCCTCGCCCCATCCCAACTTCTGCTTGATTTCCTTCGCAGCGACCCAAGTTTTGGAGCCTTGTGCAGGCTGGCACCTTGCCAAGGCAGCAGGATCAGCAAAAAAAACTGCCATCCATTCATGCGGCAATTGAAATGCATGCCACATGAGTGCTTTCTTATTATTCTTCTTGCTTTTCATTGGGATCCGGCACCAGTAAAGCTAGGCCAAACAGTCTTCTTGAAAGCTCTCCTGAGAGTTCTCGCTGCGTTTTTTCCCTTTCTTGCCTTTGAGCTTGCAGCCCTGTGCTCCTGCTGAGGTGGCTTTTTCGAGATTTCGCTTTGCCAAAGTTCCTGGCAAGATATTCCTGCCATAAAGTCCCACGGCATAGTCAGGAAACTCCTCAGAGGTATCCGAAGCCTCATCCCTCAATCGTTTCTTGGTGGGCCCTGCAATTGCCTTCTGCAGGCAAGCTTGCCAGCATGCCAAAAACAAAAGCAAGGACAACGGAGCCATATGTGCTGTGAACCAAAAAAGCTGCGGAAAAAATCACAAGTAGTAGTAGAGGCAACCCTCGGCGGCACCCTGCAAATCGAACGGGTTTTCCACACCGCCAAAAGCGACTCGTCCAGAGTCAAAGCTAAATGTCCCAGAGTTGGGGCTTTGCGAAAAGCTGCAGGCGGCCTTGTGCAGGCCAGGGGCTGCGACCCAAGTGAGTTTCGCCGCTGAAGCGCTTTGACTTTCAGGCATTCTCTTCATCCCACTTCTTGTGCGATGAGAGCTCCGCTTCAACTTCTCAGAGATGCTTGCCACGACTGCCGCCAGCTTGCTGGCCAACTCTTCGTGATCCTTTTCGGGCTGCTTGGGGAACTTGTGCTGGCTGTCCATCACTTCCTTTTTGCAGGAATAGAGCTTCGACTCCAACTCTGCCACCTGTGCCAGCACCACGGTTGCCATCTTGTGCTTCTTGTGGTCAAGCGAGACCTTGAGCAGCTCCACAGTTGCCAGTTCTGTGCTCACTTGGGTGAGCTGGCCAGTGAGCTTCTTTCGCTGGTCCTTGTAGTTCTGCTCATGGTCGATGCGAACCTCGGCTTCCTTTTCCTTGCCTTCTCCAGGCAACCTACCGGACTGGCCTTTGCTAATCATCTTCTGGGTGGCCGCACCCTTGAGCTTCTTGCGGATTTCCTCAAAATCCTCCTTGCCCACGTCCCCAACGTTCTCCTCCAGCTGAAGCTCTCTTTTCTTGGAGCTGCTGCTGAAAGTCTTGCAGTGCTCGAAGTAGTACTGCTTGATTCCCAACTTGGCTAAGTTCTCATCCTCATGCTCTCTCTCGAGCAAGTCCTGAACACAAGCCTTCTTCAGGCTAGAGTAGTCACTCGAGTGAGGGAAAAGCCCCTTGAAGCCGGCGATCTCGTCGTCTGTGAACCAGCCCTTGTGGGTGTCGTCTCTGTCCTCCTCTGCTTGCACGTCTGTCTTCGCGACCCTCCTCTCAGAGATTTCGGGATCCAGCAGATACACCTCCTAAAAAAACTGTCTCTTCTCTGCCTGGCTTTTGCACTTAGCAAAAGCGTCAGGCAGGGCCGTCTTGCCGGCCTTGGCCAAAGCCTTCAGTTTCTGGTTCATCTTCTTCGCTTCGGACTGCCCGATTTTCGGGTGAGCCTTGGCGGCAGCCGTGGCAGGCCTTTTCGGGCTAGCCCCTTTCTTCGGGCTCACCAACTCCAGCTTCACCGGGGAGCCTTGGCTGGGCTTTTGGGCTCAGCCTTCACTAGTGTGCCTTCTGCAAGCAAGCCGCCGTTGCCGGCATTGCCTTGCTCAGACTTCTTCTCGTTGCCTTGCTCAGGCAAGGCCTGCTCCTGGGCAGCAGGTTTTTTCATCTTGGAGCCACCGGCCATCGTCCTGATCTCTAAAACCGTGAGCTGAGCCTAAAGTGCTTCAACTGAAACCCTGGTTGAAATCCGCAGCCAGGCCCAAGCCCGAGGCCAGCCAAAAAGTTCCTAAAAAAGTTCCTTTAGGAACTTTCCGCCGGAAAGTTCCTATAGGAACTTTTTGTCTTTATTATTACAAACCTGGACGACGGCTCGAGACCAAGTGGCAGCAGTGCAGGCCTCAGACCAGCTGTCCGGCCTGCAGAAGGCCAAACTGCCGAGAAGTTCAACAGCAGCAGTCTCATGGACACGGCCGATCCAAGGGAGACACAAAGCGATTCTGGCCCAAGGGTGGCCTGGTCTGAAGAAGGCCATACGAAGACCGAATCCTCTGATGAGAAAAAGAAGCCTGACGTTGTTGGTGATGGGGCTGCTCCGTTTCGGTCAGCTTGCCTGCAGAAGGCACAGATGCTTCAAGCAGCTTGCCTGCAGAAGGCACAGGTGCTGCAAGCAGCTTGCCTGCAGGAGACATTTCTGGCCACGACACGTTGAGTATCGCGACAGAAGAATCGTGGGAGATGCAGCCGCGTATGTCGCAATCTGCGATGTCTGTGAACACCTCGGGCTGGAATGTCGTCCATGAGGCGGACTACACGGGCTAATCAAGCCTGTCGTTTTGTGGCAGTGGCTGCCTTGCCTGCAAAAGGCATAGCCAAGTAGCTTTGAACACGTGCAGACGGCACCGGTCCGCAGCTGTGAAAAGAATCCATCGTGCCGGGGTTCGGGGCTTGAGGGTTCAAGGGTTATAACTTGTAAGGTGTTACTTCAGATGGTTTCGGTTCACGTGTTTGCTAGGATGTGTCTTTCAAGGTGTATAGGTTTGCGGTCCATATTAAAGGCGAAACCCGGAACAATATTGAACCCTAAACAAACCCCCAGGCTGCAGGGCCCCAAGCCTTAGAGCAAAACGTACAAACCTAAAGCCCTTAAACCCCTAAACCCTAAACCCGCTGAAGCCCTTTAAAGCACCGCATAAAGACCTACAACCCTTCAACCCTAAACCCCTAAACCCCAAACCCCTAAAACCCCAAAGCCCCAAAACCCTAAACCCTTGCTCCTAAAGCCCCGAAGCCACGAAGCAGCAGCCCTCCAGACCTGAAGCCCCCAGCCGCGAAAAAATCAAACCCCCAGGATGGGCTCAGGCCCAAAAGAGTTCCACAAAAAAGTTCCTACAGGAACTTTTTTAGGAACTTTTTTCAGGAACTTTTTCTGAACTTTTAGGTTTTATTGGCCGGCGCTCTCGCTGCAGCTGCTGTTGCTGATACCCGGCCCTTCATCGAGAGGAGTCTCTTGACGGACGAGCCAATCTCCCGCAGGCTGTTTGTGAGCCCTTCCATCTTCTGCAACACAACGACGGCTCCGGATGGCATGGGACCTGCAGCACTTCCGCGCTTCAGGCGAGTGCTATCTCTTTGCCGGCGGCGAAATTCGACCTCATGCGGGCGTTCATGCTTTGAAAGGCTTGTGCGATCAGAAACAATTTCAAGCCAAGCGCAAGAAAACACTTCCAAAGCAAACACACACACACACACACACAAACACAGACTCAGAAACACCACCAACAATTTTCCACACACACACACACACCACTTTAAACCACGCAAAACACTAAAAGTGGAGTTGGTGTCTGTTGCGCAAACAACGCTTTTTCAGCAATGCAATTGTCTGTGTCAAAAATCGAGCCTGTTTGGTTTTTTAAATTGGTTGTGCCTTGGCCCTGGCAATACAAACAAAGAAACTGAGTTTTGGCAAAGTTTTGAATGCGACCTTGCACAAGTTTTGGCCAGAAGGAGAACGTATCTGCCCAGCGGGAGAAGATCAGAGTTGCTCTTTTGGTAGCAGTCCAGGCCGAGCCTGTGCAAGACTAGCTGTGTGCTGGCACCTTCTACTGCAGTAGCATTCTGCATCAAAGGGGCGGAACTGGGTGTTTGTTGTGCACTGTGCTTGGCTGCAAAGGCAGTTCTCGCGACTTCACATGGCTCTTGCTTTCCAGCTGGCGCAAAAAAATCGCAAATCGCAGGTCGCCTCTGAACTAAAATTCCAAATCATACAAAGTTCTTAAAATTTTAGAACGTGTCAAGTTTGTCTGTCGAATACTATTTGTTCGTCCGCATTTTAAGACGTCAACCGGGCGAGCAGAGAAAGGAATCCCAGGTGGCTCCGCCCGCTTCTTTGCCTTGATAAGGCGACAGAAACCAGGGGACAGAACTCGACGCTGAGCACAGTGCCCTGTGCGCCTCCGTGCAGTAACAACCTCTGGAGGCTGGAATCTCCGCGCGGTAGTTGCCTACTGGATCCGTGGGCCGCAGAAAAAGAAATTCTATTTTCCGACCCCTGTGGCGCTTTCACAGTTGCAGTCACTTACTCGATCACCCGGCCAGCAAAGGCCATTGCTCTGCGACGCTCTCTTGCCAGTGGTAGCCTTGACACGGCCTCGCGCATGTTGGAACTCTACCCATCTTTGCTCGAAGATCAGGAGTTCCAGGTTTGGGGCGATTATGGGTCTTCCCATTTTCTGGTCCATCCACCGCCTGCTTGCGGGTGCCCTTGCCATCATACTGTCCGCTCGGGGCTCGCCCAACGCACGTGCTCGCCAGGCCTTTCCGCTCCAGTACGCAATTCATCGAGGCTCCACAGCAATAGTTCTCATCTTGCTGCGTGCGCAGGCAGACGTCAATTTTGTTATAATGAGGACGGGATCTCGCCTTTGCGCGCAGCAGCTGCGCTTCGCTCTGCTCCGCTCACTGCACTGCTTCTGGAGTTTGGTGCCACTGTCAGCAACCAGCTGCAGGATCTTCTGCCGCTGGTTCGTAGCTCCTTCTATGGGCGGGGCAAGGGCGCGACACAGGACGTGTGGCAGCCCTCTCACCCTGTGACCGTTCTGCTGGCCTCTGAACTGATTCCTGATCTTCTGGCAAATGGTAATTGGTTCGCCCTTTTCTGTGTACAGTGCTGGGCTCAGTTACAGCCCGACAGGCCTTGGGCCGGTGGACACGCTCGCACTCCTGAGGGTGCCCAACACGGCTCGAAGGGTTCATGCATTTCCACCGAGCCGCAAGTTTTAGACTTTATCTGTCATTGACGACTTGCTCGGTTGCTGCTCTCCTTGGCTCAGCTTCGGGGGGGGGCGCGGGGTGCTTAGGAAGGGTTAGTCCCTTGCTGGGCGGAGCTCCCGGCGCGCATAGAGGCCACGTGGACACCTCGGTCTTCATTTGCATCAGTCCTGAGCTTTGTGAGTGCTTGCACACCAGTGTCTATCCATGCTCCAGCTTGCGACATACGTCGTCAGCAGTGTAGTGCCTTCCCTTTAGACACCTACTCCCCTCTGCACATCATGGCGCGGCTCCATGCAAGCGGGCGAGAAGTCGCAGCTTACGCGCTGTACCCGTGAGGCCAGGGCGGCGGCAAGGGAACAAGGGCGCTGCGGCCACGTCTGCCCACCAGTCTGCCAGGGCACCTCCGACGGTGGCCTCGGTGAACTCCATAGACGGAGCCCCAATCCACTTCTTTGCGGAAGCTTGTTGGGGTGCACCTGCGGCCTCTTTCACAGTCCCGAGCACCAAGGAGCGTCTCGGCCGCTGCTGTCCCTGGCGGTTGGGACACTGCCGGCGACGGCTGATGCTCAGCGGGTGTCTGACCGCCGTGCGGTGCTTGAGCTGCGCGGAGTGTGGCTCGTCAGGCTGCCACCGGGATCTACCTTGCACTTCGGAGCGGGACAACCTGAGCTGCCGGGGGGGGCTGATGTCGTGTCTGGCTCTGCTAAGCCTGACGCCTCGGTGCCTTCGCACTGCAGCCCAGCACCCAAGGTGAGTTTGCCAAAGTTGCTCCAGTGAGCGCTGTGCGGGCGAATGCTGCCTGCATTTGGCTGCTCCGTGTGGGCTGCCTTGGCTGGTCGCTCGTAAGCAGTCAGCGTCTCAGCGACACCACCAACCTTGCAGGTTGTGCGCTACCGGGCCAGATTCTCGTTGGCATGCAGAGGTTTCGGCACGGCTATGGGCACCGCACCCGGGACTCCCTTTTGACGAGGACCCGCAGTGACCTGCATTGGGTCCGCGCCTCAGGCAAGGCTCCACTGCTGGCCGTGATTTGTGGGGCCATCCGCGCATCTACAGGCGTTCTAGGCATGGGTTATGAAGGTGGGGCAGCCCTGTATGGCTCGCGGACATACGTGTCGCTGGCATTTATGAAGAGGTTGCGCCGGTGCCGCCGTTGCTGGGCGGCGGACTTAATCGGAGCGTCGTGCCAATGTGAATCAGGTCCCTGGATGTGATACGTGCTGTGGCTGTTTCATCATAGGGTCATATAGGGGGAGGCAACGCAGCTTACTCGCAAGCGACATACGTCGCTTGCCATTTGATCCTGCGCTGGCCGAATGGCGGCGCCCATCGGGCCCATTGTGGATGGGGAGCCGGAATCGGATGGCGATGTCCCCATCTACTGGCGTGCGGGCCCATGGTGGCCGCCTCATGGTCCCCAGCCGACTGGGGAACGTGTTCGCCGGCAGGCGGAAGAGACACTTCATCGCTTGCTATCGCAAGAGGTGTCCTGCGCCGTTGCAGCTGTTCTTGCTCGCCGGGGTATTCCAATGCAGCTGGCCTTGGCCCGAGTCGAGCAGGACGCTATCGCACAGGGCACCATGGCCATCTGTGTTCGGCCGCTTGCCCGCCGTGAGGGTGAGCACCCCTGGGCCGTGTTAGTTAGCGATGATTTGGCCGCCGACAGGCGGAGCGTCTTTGTCGCGAACGGCAGCCAGCTCTGAGAATCCCGTCTTTCTACCCTCGCCGAAGCCCAAGGCGGCACAGAAGCGGAAACGGTCTCCTTAAGCTGGGAGTGGCATGTTACCCCGTTGAGCATCCGGTTTTTGAACAAAGTTGGGGCAGCTCGGTGCTAAGGCTCCTTGCCCCGGCCCACATGTCTTAGGACGCCAGTACTGGAATCAGCTATCCTCGTGCCCGCTTGCATCACCTTGCTTACCCTAAGCATCCGAAAACCTCAAATGTGCTCAAAGTGCTGGTTTGGCTAGCATCATCACTAAAGGCCTCGTTTTTTAAGGTTCTGAACAGAGTATTAATATGATATATGAAAGTCCTAGGATTTCACGCACTTCAGTCCAATTTCGAGTGCTGTATGATGTTCGAAGTACTTGAAGTGTGTATTTACCGACAATCTCTTCTTTTTCGATGGGTTTCCAGTTCTCTACAGTTCTGGAACGTAGGTAGGATTTACAGACATATTGTTTTCTGGCCACAAATATACATTTCTTGACCTTTCTATATAAGTGTTCTGCAAAAATGAACTCCCAACTTTTGCATTTCTCGGCCAGTCACATTCGCTGTTGTAGTTCTAGACACGTGCACGCAGATACAAAATCATGTACGTGGCCCTAACAGGGTTACAGAAACTTTTCCCTAAAGACGTCGAACGACATAGTTTCATATATACATATTTAGTTACAAATTACATCTACATATCCAGAAACCACATGTGTATATATATATATATAATATGTTATATATATATGTGTATATATATATATATATATATATTTCATGTGTCTACGATTATATGAAAGCCTGGAAATTCTCCGTCCACTTGCCGGCTGCCCAGGAGCATGCCGGGCATACATATAGATATATGTAACATATTGGGTTCTTGCATATATATGTACGACCCAGACCTACAACTGTAGCCTGAGTCCCTTATCCAGGCACTATCTATATATATATATACACATGTATGTGAATACAGACATATATATATATATATATACATACATACATATATACATATATTTGTATACATATGCATACAGAGACACACGTTGGCAGAAGCCCCAGCTCCGATGCATTCATAATTCATGGCCGGCCAGTGTCTGTTAGCCAAGCCAGGCGGGGGGGTGGGGGTCGTGGCTTCGTTGGGATTAGTCTGGATCATGAGTGCCATAAAATCAGGGAAGCGAGCATTTGGGGTGCTGTAGTGCAACGGGTCGAGCTTGGTCTTATTTTTGCATGTTCTGCCAAAGTTTGCTTTCCAAGATCACTATATTTGGAAGAGTAGGTTTTGGGTGTTCTTGGGCTTCGGCTTTCCAGTGCCGTGCAGAAATATGTGCGGGCCAGGGGCATGTAAACATACATATATTCACATATATACCAAGCCCTCAAGTCCAACCTCCGCTTCTGCAGAAGCATGGGCTCAGTCGTTGAAGATGACGTTACAAGTATTCATAATTCAACCACATACCTGTAGTATATATATATATACACAAATATATACAACTATAATCCAGTTAGTTAGCTTTGTCGCATAGAAACCTCCAGGTACACTTGCCCCATTTTCTGAGCCCTGCTTCTCCCAAGGATCCGTGGCCGAACCGGCGAAAAAATGATAGCTACACGATGCTACATATGAACAAATAAACACATATGCGCATGTATATATGTGGAAATATACAGACCTACCTACCTACCTACATACCCCATGCATTTATTAACTGACATAATCAAAAGCACAGACGGAATAAAAGCAGCATAAGCAACCCAAGCAGCATTCAGTACATCCATATGTATATATATATATATACATATGTATGTATATGTATATGTATATGTAGATGTAGATAAATGTATACATGTACAGGCATACGTATGTTTATTTATCTACACGTTGAATACATGCCAATATTTCCCGGTGTGCATATATACATCTATATATAGATATATATATATATATATATGTATACATATGCATATGTACATACATTCACCTATGTGTGTATGTGATTGTATATGTGTATATGTATACGCACAGGTTTACTCATACTTGTACATATATATATATATATGTATCATGTATGCATATGTCTATACATAAATGATGTACATACATATACATATATATATATACATACAGATATGTATATACTTGTACATATGTCGACATTTGCTAATATATTTGTTTGCTGTATGGACAATAGACTTATACGTATCTGCGATACAATATAACATTATCTTTACATGCATGTTTCTTCATAAAAAGCGCTGCAACAGAATCTTGCAGCTTTGTCTTGAAGCGTGAAAGAAGTCTGGACAAACCTGAAAGCGTGAAAAAGCGTGAATCCGCGTGAATTGGCGTGAATTGGTTCTGGGCCGAGTCCTCGGAATCCGAGTCCTTTGTAGCCAAAGGCCTCAAATATCAAGGTTTCGGCCGAAAGGGCGTGAAACAGCGTGAATTCGCGTGAATTCGTGTGAGCTCCAGGTGTGTGGGTTTGTGTTGCAGGTGCGTCGCTCCCTGGGTTTTTCGGCGCCGAGCTTCCGCGAAGCCCGTGCTGCTCCCCATTTGTTGCCATCGGCAAGAAAACCTAGATCGCGGTTGAGTTTCTGCAGATGGCAGCAACCGCCAAGGCTGCCAAGGACTCCCGGCAAGGGGCTGTGACCAGCTTGAACGGTGTTATTGCCCAAATGCTTTGATGTATACACACATATACACACATACTGACTCACATTCCTGCCTTATCAACCGGAAGCATCATCGGAGCCTCCAGCTCGCAAGCGGTAGCGACCACCACGATCGGAGGCCAAGACGAAAGCCACGGCTAAACCCACAACCACCAAGACTCCCTACACAAAGAAGGGCCGAATCTTGGCAGAGGCACCTGACACAGTGGTGCTTGGAGGCGGTCATTTGTATATACATATGTACACATATACATATATACATTTATACATATGTACATATACACATATACACATATATACATATATATACATATACATATGTACATATATACATATGTACATATATACATATATACGTATATATATATATATATATGTATATGTATACACAAAATAGAAAAAGCTGTATCTTTTTATCTATAGATACATGTTGATACCGCAAACATAAGCAAACATCTCATACCATTTAAAGCTTCGACTCTGTAACGACTATGTATGTGTAGAACATGTAATATACTGTGGCTTTTACAACACATGAGTATTCTGCATATATGTCAGAACAATATATCTGATAATACATAATCTAACCTCATATGTATGACCTCGGAAGTGTACAACATACAAAATGATGTTGAAGCTGCAATATACATATATGACTATGTATACATATACCGGATGTTTACGCAGAACCTATTGAAAAAACAATCATGACATGGTTACTTCGTTCCTACACCACATATAAATATACAGAACCTGAAAACAACCACAACATGGCTATATGTTTATTGCAAACATATACGTATCCATTATGCATATACAAAGATATATGTATAGAGCACAAACATATTTAGGCACAATGTATGCCCATATGTATGTGTACGGTAGTGATAATGGAGTTTTGTGCCTTTTTCATCCAACAACCGTCTACACAGAATTACACAGATATATATATACATAGATACATATGTATAAATATGTAAAGGCATATGATTATGTAGCATCATAAAAAGCAATTACATATACGTGAACTGAAAATTCCTTGGCATCTTATGGTGTATATGTATATCTATCCGTATATGTAAATAGATATATTAACTCGCATTTCAACATAACTCAACATATGACTCATGAGATGACGCCACAGAAAGCCACCACGACCCAAGCCACTGCCGCGCCACCACGAACACCGCTACCACCAGCACCAGTGAAAACGACATCGGCACCATAATTGCCAGCATTGCTACAACCAGCCACCACACCACCACCACCACCAGCACCAGCAGAAACAACAACAACAACAACCACAGCCACAACCACAGCCACAGCAACAACAACAAGATAAACAGCAAGAGTAAAACATATCAGCAGCGATTGGCCTTCATGTAAAAATGATTTGATGGTTAAACTTGATTTGTGGAACTATACGACGAGATCACATGCACAGATAGAAAGAAAACAACTATATATATATATATGTATATATATATATGTTTATACACACACATGTATATGTATGTGTATATGTACATTGTGATCTGTTTGAACCCCATTTGAGCAGACACATGCATGCAATTTGCGATCTATTTACACACGTCTTATGTTTTGCTGCATTTCACTGCAAGATGTGCTACATAGAACGGCCCT